TGTTTCGATTTAAATACTTCATACGGTATTAATAAATAGATAATAAAAGATTTGCCTGCATTGTTGTTACCGACAAAAATTATAACTATATCAGTACTACCCGGTCAAAAATCACTGACATTTAATAGAACATAAATGGCCTGTTAAGGAAATGGCTAACAACAGGTTTTTAATTGTGAAAAAATGGTCAGCTAAAAGGCACTTTTTATTGTCCTGCATCTGACCTTTAATGATGGCCTAAAAACAAGCAATTAATTGTGTGTTATTAAGGCTCAGATTGATATAACTATTAAATGGTATTTTATTGTCCGTTTTATGACCATTACATAAACATACAAAAAATGGACATTTAACGTTTACCGTTTAATTCACCCTTTTGTTTCGCTGATCTCACTACTATATATCTCGTGTTGTTGCCTCATAGAAAACGTAGAGTTTTGTTCTTCCTCGACTATATTAGTCATCGAAACTTGTGTTGAGCAAGTAGCTACTGGTTCTAGGTATGGTGGAATAGATCATACCCAAGGAATCAAAAATTCAACAGTCATTATCAACAGTTGAATCCTTGCCCATAAACAGTCAATAATTACGCAAAAATGGCCATTAAAAGGTCACTAACAGCTGATGCAAAAGTTCCTGGAAAAATGTCTTTTCTTTTTTCTTCTGCTAAAACTAGTTTTGGAAAAATGAAAAATAGATTTTAGAATCTACATTTCAAGAGCTTTCTAACTGTCTGTTCAAAAAAATGTATATCACGTGTGACCTTCGAGCAGTAAGCGCATCTTTGATTGACACAAAAAACTAGTCCGTAAAAAACGGATGTTGCAAAAGTTCTTGTGCAAATGTCATTTCATTTTTCTTGCGCTAAAAATATTTTAGAAAAAAATAACAAGTTCTTCGAAATCTACATTTAAAGAACTTCCTCAGCCACTGTTCGAAACCTTTTTCGTTTCTGACCTACGAGCACAAAGTGAATCTTTCAAACACACCAACGTTTGGTCTGGAAAGAGGAATACATGGAATTTTTCCAAGTCTAAAATTCAATACCATTGAGTAGAATTATTTTAACAATGTAAGCTATTAGAGCAGACTTTTCTCTGCAAAACGACGTGCTCAAATAGGATATAGGACAAAAGGTTTAGAAGTTATCATTATTTTGCGAACAGGGATTTCTATGTCAGGGAAACACAATTTTTCAAAAAACAATGACTTTGCATACCTTAAAAGGATGCTCAGTTTTTAATACGCAAAATAGAGTCTATTTTGTAGAGAAAAGTCTACTCTGTAATCTCTTATGGAAATCATAGTTTGATCTCTCATTTTAATACTGTTACTGTTGAAATCAAAAAGATATACAAGTTTCTTTTCTTTACAGACTACATGTTTGTGCCTTCAAAGATGCACTTACTGCTCGAAGGTCACAAGTGATAGACATTTTTTTTTTGAACATACAGTTAGAAAGCTCTTCAAATGTAGATTCTGAATAGCTATTTTTCATTTTTCCAAAACATGTTCTAGTAGAAGAAAAGCGAAAAGACATTTTTCCAAAAACTTTTGCATCAGCCATTATTCAATGGTTGTTTCCAGCCTGTTTGTTGGTCGGTAAAAAAAATACCACTTTTATTAAAAGTGGCATCTTTTTAACTATTGTGACCATTTTTCCTTAAAGGCATTAATACGTTCCCGGTTATAATGCCGAAAATTGGTCAAAAAACAGTATTAACTGGTTAAAAAATGTCATTTAAGACACATTTTATAGACTGTTAATGCAACAAGATAGTAATTTATTTTTAAATTTTTTCAGTACAACATCTAAAAGTAATTGAAACAAAAAAAAGTGAAGATTCACCATAAAAGATACATGATGAAATAAGAAATAATTTTTATCTTTTGCGATGTTTTGATTCTTTTAAAATTGAGATTTTATTGATAAAAAATTATTTACAGTATTATGCGAATAAATGAAATGGAACATCTCTATTTCTTTATTTTCCTGACAAAAGAAAATTCTTACTTACAATTAGAAACGTTCGATTCTTGGTTCCTATCAAGAACTACGAAACCGCGATTATATTCCGTATGAGGAACCGGGTCGCAGTTCTCTTATTTTGGGTTCTTCATCCGAAATCGGAGCCATGATTTTTCAGGCGGTCCTGTTTTATAGAAATCAAGACTTTTTTAACCACAAATCCCACAGCTATATTTCGAGGAAGTTATGTTAGTTTTCATCAAGTATACTACTGAGCAACTTATTTTTACATAAGATAAAAGAATATCGTCCTAAAGTTGTGTACTCATCCATCGAATGTTATATTTGTGAATTAGCAGTCAAGGAACTGCTAGTGACAAAAAATAAAGATCAAAAGCATTAATAAGCATACAAGAATAAGAATTGATACAATATTATAGTTTATCTCTTAAAAACATAGAGAATTTATTGCATCCTCTTCCATTTTCCCTCTGTTATGTAACAGATTTTCAGAGATATCTCTGAAACTACACTTGTACATGGAAAAATTCTTCTCTATGTTTCGCGATTTCGATTCCAGAATTGCAGCGAAGAACTAACATCCCTACTTCCGTAAATTCAAAGTTTGATTTGAAACAGAAAAAATATGCCATGGCCGAAAAAGAACAGTTTCTAGTGAGCTTGCCACGGATTTTGTGTCACTTCTTTGCTATTATATAAGCTCATATCAAGTTTTCTCGTCAAACGTGACTGTCATCCAATTATGAAAAAAAGTGAAAAGATCCCTGTAATCTGTCATATATTCAGTCACCGAATCGTAATTTTTGACAGTGACGAGAAACAATCATTAGAGAAATTTAAGAAAAACTAAAAACAGAGAATAACTACGGTATGATGACAGTCAGTTTTGTATAACCTTCTGTTTACAAAAACTAAAAAGGCCGAATATTTCTTTCATTTAGGAGTATTTCTTATTTGAACTGGTTTTTCTATGAATTATGAATAAAAAACGGCTCCCTTCACGGTCACGAACAGCTTTAAGAAAGTATATATGTTTCTCAGATGTGATCAGAATGAAAACTAATTATGAAATTGATAAAAGTCTTATTCATTTTTTTAGAATACAAACGACAGATTTATATTATATAACACATACAATAAACCAATTTAGTTAGCGCAATTTCGAAATAAAAAACATTTCCATTGATATATATTAAATGTTATGTTATCAACCTATCTTTCGTCAAGTTTGTGAACAAACTTTCTAAAGTAAATAGATGAAATATCTGAAAAAGCAATAAAAGAGACAATATAATATGAAGTACCTTTATATTATCGTGATCATTTCGTATTATAAACATTAAAAATATTCAAAAAGTAAAAAGCTATAGATTCTGCTATTATATTTAACAAATTTACAAGATGAATTCGATCTCATTTGTTTTTGTTTTATCGTAAAAGATTAAATCATCGCAACGTTCAAGGACACTACTTCACTCTTTTCACCTGTGATTAACGCCTCAATTTTGTGAAGGTCTATTATCATTTGAACAAAAAGAAAACTTCTAAATGTTAAATAATAACCTTCGGCACTTTGTATATGTATAAAATTTCCATTCAATGCAGACAGGCGAAAAAAATAATCAACAATTTTGAACGTACACACACACACACATGCACAATCAGTACAATTTCTCTTTTTTCATGCGATAGTAAAACAGCGTCAATCTTCTACATACACATATATACACATAAATGAAAAAAAAAAAAAGATATTACATCTGATACAATCATTTTACTTTCTCTTTTAGATTCTGTTAAACAGTAAAATGATAAATATAAAAGAAACTTTGAACTTTTGAAATCGTATACATTACAAGAGAAAGAGAAGAACGATCAATCTATCTTCATTTTGTTGTTACTACAAGATGGGACAATAATGTTAGAAAGACAGTTTTTTTTTTTACTACTGAAGAATGAAATAAAAAAATGGTGTACGTATATAGATATGGGTCATGCCATACTTCATTCATTCGACAAGTAAAATGTTGTGTTATTCTCAAAAGTCGGTCATTTCAATGTCCGCACGTCGCAAAATTGTACACAAATAATAAAACAAAAAGAAAAGAAAAAAAATCTTTTTTTTTTTTTCGTTCATTCCCAAATTTGTAACACACACGCATACAAATATATCTATTCGCCACTATATTAATATAAATCAGTCAGTTTTCTTTTCTTCGTTGCTTCTTCGCTATATACTTCTCTTCTCTCCAGATGTACAACAATACGTATGTGTATACGATTTTTTGCGTAAGTATAAACTCGTTTAGACATCTTATTATTTATACACATGTTGAATGAATGTAAGAGTATTAAAACAATTATAAGAAGAAGAAGAAAAAAAGATTTAAACATAAATTACTTTCATTAATCGTCTTATTCTATACATTCAATTACACATACAAGAGGAAATGAAATAAAAAAAAATGATTTCCTTTCGTTCAATCGTGTATGCCCGTTTAGTAAGCAAATATTTGATAGAATAGGTGTAGATTAATTCCTTAACTTGATTGTAAATATCTTAGCAGATTGATCACAATTTAAAATTAAATGTTAAAATGTGTATGTTTTTTCAATTTGTTTGGACAGCAAAAAAAGAACATTTCGAGAACATTAGTGATTTTGCCATTCTGTTCTGCTTGAAGATAGTAAACTTTTTTTATTTCAATTTTGAACATCGGTGACACAGGTATGAACAGTTTTATTCATCAAACTCTAGTATATTCTGGTTAAGAAAAACACATTTCCAAGGAAAGAACTAAAAAATAGCATCTCGATTATTATAACTACGATCAAGAAATAATATATTTTCTCATTAGTGCTCACTAGAAGCTAATACCGTCAATAATTTGACTATCTTTTTTCAATTGTTTATTCTAGAACTAATGTGTGGTGTTATTCAGCATTCAACACAGTAACATAACTTCTATTTATTATGAACAGTGTACAGTGACTTAATATAAACAGAGAAATGAATTTGGTATTTTCGGCCTTAGATACAATACAACGAATTACATTAGTTTTGTTTCTATTATTAGCAATACAATGTTTTCTCGGTATTGGATTAGGAATTGGTTACTTAGTAGAATCACCATTATATAACACAATAATTGGTTTAAATCAAGCATTCAATAGACAAACATATTTTTCAATATATGCGGGTGAGTTAATTAAGATCAAAATCATTGATCCAAAAACAACTGATATCTAACATAATAATATCTAATTCTGATATTTTAACCTCAACTTTGTTTTATAATCGTGTTTTAGAGACAGAAGCTTAAGTCTGGAAAACTTGAACTGACCCTTGCTACGCACGCGGTCCTCAAAACTGCCCTTTTGTCATTTTACTCTTAACTAAATTCAGACGTACAATATCAGAAAAACAATTCGGTAACAAAATTTCCACGTACCTAGGAAATGTAACTTATCACCAAATTGCTTTTCTGATGTTGTACGTCTGAATTTAGTTGAGAGTAAAGTGACAGAAAGGCAGTTTCGAGGACTGCATGCGTAGCAAGCGTCAGTTCAAGTTTTCACTAATAAATTTATTTTGCAACCGCTTTTTAGTAGCAGAAGCTCAAACCTTGAACTAAGATCTTTTCGACACATTTCTAATTGTTTCATATTAAATATATCTTATTTTTTCTTGCTATTTTTAGCTCATTTGTTATTGATTATTAGTAGTGGTCTTGTGGCAGTTCCAATTGTTCTTGGTATATTGGGTATAGTTCAGCGTCGTTGGCGTTTTCTCATGACTTGTTTAGCCTTTCTATCGTTGTATATGGCTGCTCTATCTGGTAGTGTGGCATGTGGTTTTGCTATTTATGATCAATTGGATCCAACTCTAAAACAAGATAGTACACAAACAAATGCTCAAATATGGACAAATATTCAAACAACTTATAATTGTACACGTACAAATTGTATACAAGTACTCGAAACAGCCATGTATGCAAATAAACAACGTATCGGTATTATAAGTAGCTGTTTTTTACTCGTACCACTATTAACAAGTATTATGATTATATTACATATGAGAAGAGATTTACTTTATTTTAAATAATTATTTTCGTGTGATTATTATCCGAAAATAACAGTGATCGATCAAATGTATATTTTTTAACTCATTGAAAATGGTGCTATGATCTGTTATATATTTTATGCAATTTTCGGTGTTGATATATATATGAGAAAATACCTATCTATAGTTCATTTGTTTTGATGCTTTTTCAATGTTAAGATTTTTTCTACTACATTTTTCTAGATAGATTTGATAATGAAGAATCAAAGATGAAATTTTGATAAAAGTGATAATTTCCAATATGTACAGTAAAAACACGCTGTTATGTATTAATTTGATCTCTTGAGACTTCAATCAGGAACGGCATGGCATACTCAAGACCATCTATAAAATTGCTTTTTGAGAGTTTTTTGTGATAGATAGAGTAGAAAATGTCAAAGTGAAAAAAGAAAAGCATGCGACAATGAGAACTTATGGTAATTAATTCACACATACGAAAATCATTTCAATCACTTTTGTATATAATATGAGAGAACAATCATTTTACAATTACCATATGATTAGACCCATTTAGTATAATATGCACAGTATTAGAAAAGTAGGTGGTTACTCCTTTTTCATGCAAATTTATATGTTCAATATAAACGATAGAAAGAGAGAGACCACCTACATATTATACGATATTCAGAACGTCAACTGAATCGTTGTCATCTTACAAAATTCAATTGACCATGATATTCATAAGCAAACAGTGAGTGAGAGGCAGAGATATTATTATAGTTTTTTATTGCATAATTGTAAAAATTTGAACTTTAATTTATTATATAAAGTGATACCTTATTCATTGATGATGGAGATGAACATAAATATGTGAAATCTTACATTATATGTTCTAATAAAAAGTAAATTTGCATATTTTATAATGAAGATCAATCATATTCTTTCTTATAGTTTATTCTATATACAAAGAGTTACAAAGTAGCGAATATTGCTACCTAAAAAAACACTTCTTTCCACTATCAAACAAGTGGAACTTCTTCATATCATTTGATATGAAATTAATTCGCCTTGCGAGAGAATAGAACCGGACTTTGGTTCTTGCAATTTTTCTCATAAATGTGCGTTAATTCTCTTTCTCAATACATAGATTAATCCTGATCGTATTAAAACGTTGTTTTGGATCAAGCTATACTAGTAAAAGAACCGAAAATAAAATTAATTATGATTATTTTAAACTTTTTTTAAAAAAAATTTAAAAAAAACGAAAACTTCTTCAAGATGGTGTGGTTTCTAGAAGATAGTTTTTTAGTATAGCACCTCAGCATCTTTTCGACCCCTCTTGGCACCTAAAACTACCGATTTAGTCTACCAGTAACGTGCGTTCTTACGTCGTAAAATTCAAGATGATGGATGGGTAAAGGGATCGAATCCGACCATGAACTTTTTTTTTTATTATTTTGCTTCTATTTGAATCAAAAATAAAGTATTATTGTCTTCTTTTTAGCAGTATGATGTAAATGCAGCCAAACTTCCTTCCCCAAGCTTATTCGTAGACGAAAGGACCTGTGCAATGTGTGATTCACCACCTTTTAGAATCTTTCAGCACCCTAATCGACACTAGGTGCCGCTTTTTCCCCGTTGACGAAAACGCTTTTCCTCAGCAAAAACTCAGCTATCTGACACTGATAGTGATACAGATGTCGAAGACATCAGTACTGTTGAACAACAAGATTACATTGAAAGTTTGAAACGAAGATTCTTTCCTAAAATAAGCCTACACTATTTATGTATTGAAAACACTTTCGGCTGCCTAGACCGAAACATGACGGCTGTAAAATGCAGTTTTCTATAGATGTTGTTTTTAGCGATTTTTAGAGCTTTTACGAAAAATGCTATAAGATCAAAAGGAAGCATTATCCTGTCAAAAAATTGTCTCCACAGATACGTTGCCTCTACCACACGTAGAAATTTGAGCCAAAAGTTTGAACATCGACTGAGCGACGCACAAGGAAATCGGTCGCTCTTTCCGTGCAATGGCACTTATCAGTGCTTCCAGGATTGACTAAAGTAATCACATAATGCTGAGGACCGCACGTGATAGTAACAGTAATATCTCCCTATTCAAGACAAGATAGTTCTTCAATATTTGTAATAGTCAAAGTTATCTAATTCTTATACTATCCGAAATTCTTCTCGGAGTTTACTAATCTTTTACACGAAACATCGGAAAATTTTGTCGAAATTTCACGTTTGCACAGTTTCAACATTAAATGCGTGGTTAAGTGTGAACTTTCTATAATTTCACACGCGTTCACAGGTGAGAATTTCTTTTCACACCAGTTTACGACTTTCACTAATGATCACGTGAGAAAAATGTGACGCGAAACGTTTTTGTGAGCAGTTCACGCATTGTCACAAGTGGAATATATTTTATACGCATGCCCACGTTTTACGATGTTCACGTGCGACCACAGTTCATTTCACGATATTCACGAGTGTACACGCCGTTTTATATACTAAAATTTCCCGATGGAGAAGATGGTTCTTCTAATAACTGATTTAGAGTTGAAAAATCTGGTCAGAATCAGCTATAAAATGTCGGAAATTGTCTTTTTCAGAAAATTGAGTCCTGATTCCGTTGCGAGATCCAGAGCTGCATAAACTGATCAGAATTTTTATCTCTGTATCAGAAGATAGATTTTTAATGAAGTCTGGTTCCCCTGAAAAAAAGTGCGTAACCGATTCAGCTTTTCAAATTAATCTGATCGTTGACTAGTGATACTTCTGTCTGAATACGTTTTTAAAGCAAAATTCAAAATTTTCAAAATTTCTTAATTTTCAACTTTCAATTTTTTTTATAGACACTTTCTTAATCATTTTCGTAGGCTTTTAATTTAAAATAAAACAATGTTGCTCATGACAGCTGCACCGCTGATAGATGTCTGTCGTCTTGCAATAATGCCACATTCGTTTCTTATTTAATCTCGGCTATAAATCAGATGATTGTTATTAATAGTCTGATAGTTTTTTGAGTATAGTCAACAAAGTCCACAAATTCGTCTCAACTAAATAAACATATGCCACATTCAGTTTTTTTTCGATTTTAAAAACGTACAGTAAAATAGTAATCAGAGATGCGCGGTACAGTCTCCACTCGTCTCGACCCGTCCCGTCGAGACGAGTCGGGATGGGACAGGTTTGAAAAGTTTTTTGACGAGACGGGACGTCAACAAATCTTGTCCCACGCATCTCTGGGAGGAGATATAACTTTGCTGCGCCAAAACAATATTCTAAGCAATGACGTCAGCACTTCATTAATTATAGTTCAGCAGCAATAAATGGAATGTTATTCCTTAAACTTATTGCTTTTCACTTTGAGTCATGTGCTCTTTCTTTCTTTCTCTACAGTTTTGGTAAGTTAGTTTTTCTATCCTCAGCACGCTTTAACTATCCTATAATTATATCACAAAATGAATATATTTTTCAGAAAACTCTATCGTTTCTCCTATCAGATACTTAATTGTCACGTGATATCCTGCGTAGTGGAATTATACTTGATATGATGAAAGCTATAGCAGAATGTACGATAGGATAATGATCAGCTGATACGATAATGTGAATAATATGCTGTAGAAGATTAATGTAGCTGTATAAAATGCGAAATATATTTTTATTGCTAAAGGAGAAAACATGTATAGCAGTTTACTGAGAGTTATATCCACTGTACTGCCATAGGTAGAAGCTAGCTGGTTGCATTCGCGTTTCACTCAGTCGGCTTCCAATCTTCGCGGAGCGCAGTTGGCATCTAGTTTTTTATCTTGTCAGATATGAACTTTATTTATTTCATACAGTACGGTATCAAAAATAACAGCGTAAAAATAGTATGGGACGAGACGGGACGAAATTAAGTCCTTAAGTAACAGAACGGGACGAGACGAGACGTCAAAAAACCTTGGCCCGTACATCTCTGATAGTAATGGAACTTAATTTCATGTTACCACATAATTATTTATTCACTAGTCGTCTATTATCACCATTCATAAGATATTTCAAGGTGAGCAGATCGTATATGAAGTATTTTGTTGAATTTACTAATACCACTACTAAATTATATTCTGATGGTTACTGTTGAGATGATTGCAACAAAAATATAATTAATACAATCAAACTATTAGCCATTTGACTCAGATTTAGTTAATAAAGATTTACAGCTATTAGTTTCAGTTAAAATAAAATATTGTTTTAGATACTCAGATTTTTTTTGTCACTGCAATGTACTAATTTCTTATTATGTTTATCATACTATAAAAAAATAGATGAAGAGACATAACAAATTAGAGAGAATACGATATATATATATTTATAATTTAAACGAACCGGGTTGTGTATAACTGTATGGTAAAACGGTCCATTAACTAGCTGAAAATTGAGAGAGATCATCGATCATTCGTTTTTTTCTTGACCATTGTATATACTGTGAATACAAAGTCCTGGTACAATTTAAAATTCGATCGGCATGATGTCTTCGACGATAACGATCAAAATACATGGCAATATCTTGTTCATCTAAATTGTTTTGTTTTAGTAAATATGTGCGATGAGTCAACATTATTGAAATGCATAGAAATAACAAAAATGGATTATCTTCGTCTAACCACATATTACACGGTGGTAATCGAGTTATCCAAGATATTTGGGCTGCTGTGGCTGCAATTGGCTGATTCGCAGCATCACAATCAAATTCAGATAATTCTGATACAGAAAATGAATTTTCTAAACTCCGCTGACGTTGTTGTTGTTGTTGTTGTTGTTGATATTGAGATGAATGTGGTTGGGATGATGACATGAAATAATAAGAATAATCATCGGTAGAAGATCGTTTTATATGTCGTCCACAATATTCATTTGTTGATCGTGTAATACTAGGCCACGATGAACTTAAGAACAAAGGCTCAGTTGAATTATCAAAACGTGACAGATAATGATCCATTGGCTAAAAAAACCGAAACACAAAAGCAATTTCGAGATCAATGTTCAATCTCACGTATAGAATGATATTTTTCATCCACTGGAATCTATCTTTCGTACTCTTCTTACTGAATTGAACAGTGATTAGAAAAAAATACAATGAAATTACTTGTACTATGGGCTCTGTTGATAAATAAAGATCAGGACAACTAATTGCACGTCGGACAGAACAATCCGGTCGAGTACTTGCACATGTAAAACATAATTTTTCATTGGAGTCTAATGTTGCTAACAATGGTATTTCACTTAATGACGGTGGTTCATTGTCAATAGGTAAAGTTGACCACATCACTTCTAATACGCGTAATGCATCACTGAATGGAAATTCCCGTTTGCATTCTAATAATAGCCAACGATAGACAAATAATAGATTCACTACAATAAAACGAATTTAATTAAGATTCTTACAGAATATTTTCAATTTAAATGAATAGTTGTACCTGCATCAGCCGTACAAAAGTAATCCCAGTAGACTGGATCAACTGCTTGAAACAATACTTTTAAATGATGAAATTTCGTCGCTATAGCTACACCATCTGTAGCAAAATTTGCTCGAATTCTTTTCATTATAGAACAAAAACATATATAAGTTAATGCTTCTTCTCTCATAACATATAGCAATGTTGATGCATAATCATTCATTCCTAAAAACAAATTATTTAATAATATCTTCTGCTTTCAGATAAAATTGATAAAAGCATACCTTGACAATAAGTAATACTTGGATGATTAACGCAATATGTCGTTAAAATATTGAATAATGATTGTACATTCACGTTATTATCTGATCCAGCATAAAATCCAAATGCACGATCGGTACGTAGTGCATCTTTTCTAACTGTTTGCATTATTAAACGAATTGTCTCTGTTTTTTCTTGACATGATTCATGTTCATGTGCCCATCTCATTTTTAATCTAAACACACACACTTTCATTAGCTCGATTAAGATGTGTACTTGATTAACTTACTTTTCATATTGAATATTGACAGATTTTAGATATTCAATTCTTTCAGTTCCAGTCATACTCGATGGAAAGATATTTAACAAATGTCTCCATACTACTTTACGAAATGATGGTTCTATACCTCCTAAAATAAACAAAAACAAAACAAATGAATATCTCGTTTGGTGAGCGATTATCTATGCATACCGTCGAATATAGCTTGTCTTAATTCGATGTTATGTATTAATCTTCCTTCACAATCAAGAAATTTTTTCAAATCACCTTCACCAAGTGGCTGAATGTTACGACGACCATTAACACCGTACATCCAATCTAAAGTAATGAAAATATTACAGTCGTATTTGACTATCAAAATGAATGAGCACGTAAATTATCATAGATTCCCTGAAAAAAGTATTTTCTACAAACCAATCTTGTTTCACTATTCGATGAAATGTACGTGATAGAATCGACTTAAATCAGTGACAGATATAAACAAGTATAGATGAATTCTTACTTATAGCTTTGTTTAATGCTGATGCAGCTTTTCCAGCTGTTTGATTCACCGTTGCTATTATTGAACGGCTATCAACACTAAACCATCGAATATTTGAACCAAAATCACCAATATGAATAAAATCCCAATCGTCTAAACCTAAACGAATTACTATATAAGTTATTTAGTATATCTGAATTAAAGAGAGAATACAAACCATCTTCTCTGTGAGTTAATTCATAGCGTAGTTTTAGACATGACTCTTGTATTACATTTTGAAATGCCGCATCTAAATCCCAGTCACTCCAAATGGCAGTTATCGTTTCACGACCATAAGAATCTTTTACAATTGCATTTATAACAAAATCTCTAAAACATTAGAAAAATAATCAAGTTTTAATGAGTAAAATATAAACTTCTATAATTCTGCTAAAAAAACATTATACTCATAAAATTTTATAGTTTGTTAATGATGTAATATAACGAGAAGACATTTCTTTGTTACAACTAGCTAAGCATATACAACTATAGAAGTTTATTAACAGAGAGACAATGATAGCATACTAACGTTTTAATATCAAATGCTTGAGCAATAAGACATTGTAATGTATTATAAGATGTTAAACGTGGATCAACACAGAACTTTTTTGATTCTGATTCACCATTAACAGAATTTGGTTTCTAATCAAACACGCAAAACAATTATACAAAATAGTCATGAACTAAAATAGAAGTTTGATAAATACTTACATAGACTTTGATTCTCACAACATCTGGATGTGCTGTTCCTATGACAGACATTCGAGAACCAAATGATGAACATGTAGGAATACGTGACACGGACGACGCGCCGGAAGAATTGGTCGTAGAAGCAGCAGTGATCTAAGTATGACAAAGTATTAAAGTCATTTTTTGTTTCTGTATAATATACAAAATAGAAAGATGTCCTGTCTGAATAATGAAATAAAAGAATGGATATGACATTAGATAAATGTCATACCAACATATGTGAACTATATCATCACTATAGGTGAAGTCCATGGTATATATGAGCATGTTTAGTACAAGTAGTAATGAAAATCCTAAGATCTAACCTCTGAAAATAAAGCCTGAGTTTAGAATTAGTTATAAATGTATACACTCAACATAATGTCTGTAATTTAATCCATATTTGTGCACGTACAAATATATCAAAGGTAGCTTGACCCTAGACGTCAGACTAAAATATTTAAATCGTTATAGTTTTTTTGTTTTCTTTCAACAACACAAAACTTCTCCATCTGCCAACACTCTCAGCTTTCATCATGCTTTTTTTCTAGCTCTCAATCAGCAAAAAATTATCCAGTTAATTAACATTCGTATCTGTATGATTTATGACAAAACGAACAAAATATCATATTGTTTTCTTACCGTAGTATCAGAATTTTGCTTTGGTCTCATATTTTAAAAACTGTTATTAATTTGCACCTGACCTACTCTTCGTCTATCTCTCTTTCTGTGACAAAAAAGAGAAGCGTAAAAGTATAAGAATAAATTTTGTTTTTCATCTACACAATAAATTTTGAAGTCCAGGTAAGTAAACGAATTGTAGATTACTCTTTACTGTTAGGTCATCAGCTGAGACGAAAATTACATGCATCAGGAGCATGGTAAGTCCTATTGTTCCCTCTTTTCAGGCTATACTACCATCAAACATGAAATACTAAATAATTTAGTATGATAAAAATACTATACTTAAATAACAGCAAGAGAAAATATTCTTCAATTAAATAAGAATAAGAACAACATTACACTTTGAGTTTTATTTTGATATTTTTCTAAAAATACTATTTTTTCAATAATTCGTATGACTGAATGCAGCTGTTTGCATTTATATATAGAAATCAATGAAGGTGAAATAGAAGAAAAGTGTTCTCTTCAATATTAGTAGAGCTGACATGAAAAGCGTTAAAAGTAGTGGAGTAAAAGATATTTGAACATTCAAAATAAATTTTAAATATTTTTTTCCCTTTTTAATGTTAATCAAGTAGCAGTATAGCTGATTTCTGAGTAAACACTGAAAGGAACGAGCCTACATTCTCTTCCCGGTCGCAACATCTCTGAACACTAATACATCATCTCAAGTCACTAATATCAATGAAACGAAAGTTCAATAGACTCTTTTGATTTTAACAGGGAGTATTAGTGAGCGCAATCAATAATGTTAATTAGTTACATGTAATGCAAAACAATGAAGCATTTTAGTGACGAAAAAGAAAATTGATTCAGATGGCCCTCTAATATTAATCGTTGGATCATGTAGAAGTAAATTACGCCTAGATGTGTTCATATGCACTGATTTCAATACACACCTCCTCAACGCTATTCCAACGTGTACGAAATTTTTGTCTTCTCACGTTAAGCATATTATCACCTTAGGTTTTACCTAAAATGAATATAAAAATAAAGTTCTCTTCACCTAGTTTGCAGTTAATTGTTCTTTCCAAATTAATCGGCTTACTGATGACAATAAGAAGAAAAATTAAAGATAGGAGATAGCTAGCTTCACTTCTACTGGCCTAAAACAAATGCAATTGAAATTTATAGTATGCAAAAAAGTTGGAACCCGAGAAAACAAAAAAAGAACAATAACACACAATACACGTATGCTATTGTCTTCCAGAGGCCGAAACGGATCAGGTCAATATTCGGGTCACCGAAAAAACATTCCGATTTTTCATGCGTTTTTCTGCAAAAAAGTCTAAAGTTATACACCTTTTTTAATCAGCTTCTAGTTACACTCCTCACCCCTGACTCAGGATAGGGCATCCTTATTTCCGGTTGAACTGGCCAAAGCCAACAAGACATCGTTGCCGACAAGGTTAAGGCGCCGAACGCCTGCCTCCAGTGCTATCAAATATGTAAAAATGAACGTGGGGTGGCTGTTCGTAGGCGAACATGTGATAAGACATTTCAGAAGATCACAACATCACAAGTGAACACCGACAAGCGAAAGGTCACAGAGGTGCTGAAGAGAAATAACTAGATTGAGCATACTTGTCCAAAATGTGGAAAAGCATACAAGCCACACGGGATCACTGGACATGTGAAGGTGTGTCACATGTCTTTAGTCTTTAGCACGTGTCTAACTTCTGTTTAATCTTCACTCAAAGCTCTTTTGGATATGCGTATGTTTTTCTTTCTATCCTGTGAAAGGGCTGCGTGCCCTCAACACATCTATTTGCTGTTTTCAGCAAATCAAGCTTTGACAAATAAAATAAACATTAAAAAAAAAGATAACAATTGTGACTTTGATTTGATTAAAAAAATAAAAGTTCGCACTTTGCTTATACAAAAAACTCATACCCTATGATTCTCGTAAGATAAAAACTCCAACATTTATTCCGAAAAGCTGACTAAGAAGATCACAGAAACGCAAATATTGTCTATACTGTTATTATATCGTCTTTATTCAAAAGAATTTTCTATATTTAAACTAGATCATTATACTGAATTTCTAAATTGTAAAAAGAACCTTTTTCTTTTACTCTTTTGGTAAAAGTGTAACAGTGTCCCAAAAAACTTTAGTATTGTACTTTTACCATAAAGGTTCGTCCAAAGTAAAATTGTAACTTTTCTATTATGACTCATTGTCGGAATGATTTACTATGATATTCTAAATGTGATAGCACATAAGTATTATAAGAGAGATCACGCAGTATCTCTGGTTATCCTGATAGTACGGTAATTAAGTAAAAGTTATGATATTACTATTATTTTTTCTTTAAATTTGAAATGTAAAAACATGAACTTGGAAAGGCAGACTGGCATACAGAATTTTCTAAAGACTTTATTTATGCGTTTTTGTTTTAATCCATAATAGTTCTCTTGTGTGATATGGTGCTCGAATAGGAAAAGTTTTGAAAACTAATATTTGAATACTCTTTCTAAAAGTATTATATAGAAGAATGTCGAAAACAAATTCTGCATCTTTTAATTATAAAACGTATATTCTCAATATATCACATAATTTTTCTTTTTGAGAAGGATTGATTATACAAAGAGTTCATAATATTCTAGCAGCAATCAAATGAAAGAGTCATAGATCATGCTATTACTAATAAACTAAAAACTTTAAAGAAAAATCAGAACAATCAAATCTCTATACGTGAGATTTATCAAAAAAAGAAAAATTATTTGAAAAAGTAGGAAGTATAGGATAAAATCTCGAAAGCACAACAAAGCAGGACGTTTTAGTGAAAAGTAGGATGTTTACAACGCCTACTCTACTGAACAAATTATGCGTACTCTGTTGTCGGATAAAGCAAAAGGTATTTACGAAAAAACTAATTAACGACCTACAGAGTGGACGTGTTTCTCTCAGCTGATCCGCGCTCTGCAAAGAATTTATTGACTTTCAACTGTAAATCTATCATTAAAACCTAATTTTTTCGTCAAATTTTCCTCAAATACGATACAAAATCATCTTATACTTGCCACCTCAAGGTATTTACTCATTTAAAATCACTTCAGCATTTTTCAGTCACAATAGCTCTTCCAGTAATTTAAACACGATCGGATCATTGTGTTGTGATTTCGTTGCTTACTTTTTAGCGTTTCAATAGTTTTGCGATGATACAGATTTTGAGAGTTGATTTTCGGAGACCGAATCTTTGGAGCTGTGTCATGTCTTCATTTCGCACATTTAGATACAAGATTAGTACAGATATATTGTAGAACATATCAGGTGACCTAAGAGTAGTAGACAAATCTTCAAATCTGTTTAGAAGAGCTAAGAAAAGATTCATCTTATTCCGCTAACAATTCAGGTTATCTGTTCCTTCTATTTAGAAAGTTCTTTAGCTCTACTGAACAATGTTTGTTATGCCTGAAAATGTTGCTATATAGGTAACCTGACATGTTTTACAATCTGTTTATATTAAAATTTTGACAAATGGAAAGTGTATGATGTATTAGAGCCCTGCAGGTTCCAGCATTTTCATAATCCGTAGACTGTCCTGTAAAAAATTTCACAATCTATAACCCGTTCTAATTTGCAACCTCGTCATCTATAACCTGTCCTGTCTTGCGAAAAAAACTGCTTCAGAACTCTAATATGAATACTTTTCCTCCTTCTCATTTACTCTATTTGTGCATCAAAAAGCAATTATTGCTTTTGATCACAAATTTTAGAGATAAGTGATCTTTTGTTAATAACAAACGATCACTTATCTCTAAAATTTGTGATCAACTGCAGGGCTCTACTGAAGATCCCATGCTCGAAGAGCTAGTCTCACAAACCTTATGAGCACCAATACAAAACAAATTTATGATCAACATTAAGAATGACCTTTGAAAAAAATTTTTTTATTGAGATTAAGGAAATGCACCTAAAAAGGTTCGCTCATGCGTGGAATTTCAGAATGGCAACACCTTTGCAGAAAATCAACAATGTGAAGTTTTTATCTTCTCAATTTTCACTTTTTAGCCCCTATTTTGTGATAACTGCGTCGTTTTTTTTTGCGATTTTATTGTACTTTTATAAATAAGCTGAAAAAATATTTATCTTCTTTTGATATAATTCGGCATGCACCGGTATTTATCAGTATACTTTTCTCGTTTTCTGAATCAGATTGACTGAAAAATACAAACTATCAAAGTTTATGACTCAGTTTTATAGAACAAATATTTCTCTACAAAATGAAGTATGACGCAACTCTTCATCTTTTTTCTTTCTTCCACAATAGATTCTCGACGAAAAGCTCTATACTGGTATTAAGCGGCACCGGGATTAATATCGGTCGTAGGATGTTTAGTAAACATTTTTTATCTGCGTGTTGTTATATCTCATTTTGTAGAGAAATATTTACTCTACGAAACTAAACCATCAAAAACATTTTTTGTAATCATTTTGAGGTATGAAAAATTCTTTTTATTAGAAAAAGCGCAGAATTGCAACCGGTGCATGCCCAGATATAATAGTTTAATAAAACATAACAATAAGCTCCTGTTTATTTAAAATATGACTTATTCTTATCCTTGTTTGTTTTCTTTTAAAAATAGAACGTTTTCCTTTATTGCTCTTATTACTATTAGTATTTCGTAGCGATTTATTATATATCATCTTGATCTTTTCGATGTTCTCTAGTGCTGAGAGTAAGAGTTAGAGTCTGTAGATTATTCATGAACTTCAGTAATTGTTTTCTGTTTGTATTAGTGCTCCTTTTAACTAACCAGAAAAGATATGATTATAATTCTGAACAGTGGTTTGCATCTATTTTGGTCAAGCAGGAAGATGTTACTAAAGTAGAAGTCTACAAAAAAGAATTTGTAGAAAAAAAAAAAATTTCAGCTGCAGTAATAACCTCTTTCCTGTTCAACAAAGTATACTTTTATGACTTTACAAATAGCAGGATCTTCTTTCAGTGTGTGTCATTCTCATATTCAAACATTCACTCTTCAATTTGTCGAAAACATCGAAATAAACATATTTAGTTATACCGGAAAGCTTTTTACGTTTGTCTTGAAAACTTCGGAGTAGTAGTCCTCAGTTTTCATTATTTCTGTACACATAAAAGTTCGGCTCCTTTTTTCTCGAAAACTGTTTTTTCCGTCAGTTTTATTTCTATACTAATTTCTATCATGATTTTTCCTTGCTGTTGTTTTATTAATAAAAAAATAGACAGAAAACAACCAAAATCTTTATTCATTTTACATTTCTCAATTCCCACTCACCGAGATTCTACGATAAATACTAGGGCTTTAAAGTATAGAAAAAAAAAGTTTAGTTTTGTAAAATACATCAAGATTTGTGAATTGTTTTTTTCCCTATAGAAAAATAATAACTGTACTCAGGCTTTTTATTTCTTTCACATGAGATAATGCAGTGTGGTACTACAACAAGCTTAAAGTAAACATTACAATGAAAGCGTAGCAATTTTATACCTTTACTCTCAGTAGAAATAATATGACATTTCTATACTTTTGACCTTTACTCGTCACAAAGTGTAAACCATTTTATTCACAAAAGTACGATGTCGCATGTGACAAATAATCGGTGTTGATTGATCGTTTAAAGTACCCATTGAAAACTTGTTTACGGCCCTCTCTGCAGACAACAAAGTGCATTAGCATATTGACTATTCATATCCTATACAAACGTCTTTACTCGCACGAAACGCTTTTCTTGTCTTAAGAAAATTTATAGAGAGATTTGCTTCAATTACTATTTTTACAACTTATCTCCTAATTCTGTTTATCAAATACTATATCTATTCCACCATAATGGTCGACTTTTCACTCATCGCGTATTCATTGATTAAGTCAACTGAATGAAACGAAAGGAGACTTATTTTTGTATCTCTTCGTCCCTGTTGTTATCTCAGCTGTTATTTCTCAATAAAAACTAAGATTGTGTTTCCTTGGTGTTTTTTTAGATAAATAAGATCCCAGAGATTCATCTTTGTGTGTGCTTCTGTTTTCGTTTTAATTGTCCAAGAGCGTATAATACACATACAAGATGAATATCATATAATAGAGTTCACACAACAACGAAAAAGCCAAAAAACTTATTTGTTTCTCTTCATTTATCTCTTTATTTTCTACTTTAATTTTTTAATTCAACCTTTTTGTTCTTGTGCACGTTTTTGAAAAGCTCGTAATTAATGGCAAGTGAACAGGACAAACTAAACATTGATGGAATTATAGGACGCTTATTAGAATGTAAGTAGGCATTTCTTATAAGGAAATGAAAAGTTTTTTTGAATCTCAAACTAAATTGAGAAGCAAGACTTTTGGAATTGATTGATTAATTAACTATTTACAACGTGAAAAACAGATCTTGCTGTTAGGAAGATACTAAAACTATATTTCATTTGTAAACACTGTCACTTTATGGAGAATTTTTTTGTTTAAATAGAATCTTAATCTCTTTCTAAAGTGCTTGATGGTTGGGAAACAACTGTCTTAGTTAGACTGAAATTTCAGTCTTGAGCTCTTTGATAGTGGTAAGATTGTAATGCGGTCTCTATTTCAGCAGGGCATTTTCTACCTAACGTGCTGATCTAATTTATTAGACCTTCCGGCCTAGTCATACTTGATTGGATTGAATTGTGAGAACGGGGAAACTCGTTGAGTATTTTAACGTCTGTACAAAGTTGATACATCTTTAAAAGGACGTATTAAGAAGGCAAATAAAAGGACAGCAAAAAAGATGACTCAAAAGCCGAAAAGTTGCTAAAATTTTGTATGAACTCCCAGTTATGCTTTTTACCTACGCTTACCTACCTTACTTTTTCGCACAATAAATCATCGTATGAATATTGGATATATAGACACTGTATTCATTTTTCAAATAGTTTAATATATAGTGCTGAACTAAATTTTCTGAAAAAACTATCGTCGTTTTGGTGTTTCTGTATTTATTATTTTCTGTTTTTCTCCTGTTTAGTTCGTGGTGCAAAACCGAATAAAAATGTTCATTTAAGTGAAAATGAAGTACGTGGGTTATGTTTGAAATCTCGAGAAATATTTCTTAGTCAACCAATATTACTAGAATTAGAAGCACCATTAAAAATATGCGGTATGTAAAACACAACAACAAGGATAGTGATTTAAAGTACCCATCTTCTGTGCAAACAGAAGTTCCGTCTCTCAGAAAATGAAGTTTGAAATAAACTGCAGCACATTATGCAGAATTACAATGTGACTCTATACATTATATAACCGACCTACTATCAACATCACTCAAATACAAATAATGACATAATATCAAACGTTTGTGCTGTCAATGTTTGCAAGAAACTAGATGGGCTAGGTTGTTCAATCTTATCTCTTTGTTTTTTTCAATTTTGGTCGAATACGAGTAGTCGTCATTGACCTTCTTTACCATGAGGCAATATTATTCCTCGTTTGTTTTATATTATTAATTTCAAATTGTTTTTTTCCTCTATTTTAGGCGATATTCATGGTAAGAAAGTGTAGTAAAATGTGTTTTTCATCAATGAATGATAGTCAATATACTTTTTATCTGTACTTAGGTCAATATTATGATTTGCTTCGTCTATTTGAATACGGTGGTTTTCCTCCAGAGAGTAATTATTTATTTTTGGGCGATTATGTTGATCGTGGAAAACAATCATTGGAAACAATTTGTTTGCTACTCGCTTATAAAATAAAATATCCAGAAAATTTCTTTTTATTACGTGGAAATCATGAATGTGCATCTATTAATCGAATTTATGGATTTTATGATGAATGTAAGTATGTCAAACTAGAACAGGTGGAACTTATATATATTTGGTTTTCTTTCTAGGTAAAAGACGGTATAATATTAAATTATGGAAAACATTTACAGATTGTTTTAACTGTTTACCTGTGGCAGCTATTATTGATGAAAAAATATTTTGCTGTCATGGTGGTAAGGATCTAAAAGCTTTTATTTTCATTTACAGATGGTAAATAGAGAATCTCGTGTTTTTCTTTATAACAATTATAATTATAGTTTGAGCTAAACACATTTAGATAAAAGTCATATTTCTGTAGATATTTTGTATCTTTGTCAAATAAATATCAATAGTTTTATGTCATTTTTGTGTTTTTGTAAATCTATTTTTATATTATTTATTTTAGGTTTAAGTCCTGATCTTCAATCAATGGAACAAATTCGTCGTATAATGCGCCCTACAGACGTACCTGATCAAGGTTTATTATGTGATTTATTATGGTCAGAGTATGTATCTATTATTTTAATTTCCATTTATATATTTTATTCAGATTATTTATTTATCGTTCTTTGGTCTATTTAGTCCCGATAAAGAAGTGAATGGTTGGGGCGAGAATGATCGTGGTGTTTCATTTACATTTGGAGCTGAAATTGTATCAAAATTTTTACATAAACATGATCTCGATTTAATCTGTAGAGCACATCAAGTATGTTAATTTTGTCTTAAATTAGTAAATAACTCTACTTACTTCAACTAATTGATGTTTTTATTCTAGGTTGTGGAAGATGGTTATGAGTTTTTTGCCAAACGACAATTGGTTACATTATTTTCTGCACCAAATTACTGTGGTGAATTTGATAATGCCGGAGCGATGATGAGTGTAGATGAAACACTAATGTGTTCATTTCAAGTAAGAAAAGAACTTCACCATTCTCTTGAAAAACGTTATGTTGAACTCTGTTATCTTCCCATATAACAATGTCAATAGTGTTCATTATATCCAACTGGTTAAAGTCATTATTTCCTTTAATTTTTTTTAACGATAAAAACTTTTTGTTTACTTGCTCTATCCTTTATCTTTGCAAAATTAATTTTACATTTTTACAGTTTACGCTTCGAATAAGACTTATTCTTGTTGCTCCTCTGATGTAGAATGCAGTTGAAGTTGAAAAGAGCACATTAATAGAATTATTCTTTCTTATATGCTGCTAATAAGAATTAAATCTAATGCTTAGATGAATCTGAGTAAATATGAATGCAAGTATCTCCTGTCGCACGTAAACGCTCAAAAATATTTGTGAAACAAATTCGCTTTTATGTGTTTTTTTTAATATTTTTTTGCTTCGTTTAGATATTAAAACCATTAGAAAAGAAAAACAAAACTCCATCATTGAATAGTAATCGTCCTGTCACACCGCCACGTGGTTTAGTAATGAAAGATGCTTTAATGAAAGATGGAAAGAAATCAATGTAAAAATACAACAAATAGCAATGAGCGAAGAGCTTGTTTTCTTACAGAACTTCCTGCTTCCCTATCTGTTTTAGTTTTGTTCTCAACTCTGTCTCGCTCTCTTCACTTTTTTTTTGTCAAATATAGTTTTTTGGTTTATTTTCGTTTTGGTGACAATTTGTGTTCGTAAAATTGTTTGTTTTCGGCGCCATACATACACACACACACACTTTCTTTCGTTGGCTCTTGCCCGGTGGTCTTATCTCATCGACGGCAACCATATCCGTTGTCAACAACTTCTATCTCTAAGATTTTTCTTCTTAGCACCATAAATAATTTGGTCGTATTTGTGTGTTCAACAATAGTTCTCTCTGATTTTGTGTTTGTAGTAGTTTGCTTACTTCCTTGAAATATAACTGCTATTTTTGTACATAGGAAAATTTATAAAAACTTGCGCATAGAACTGTCTATTCTTATCTTAATCATACATTAACTCGCTCTTTGTTCTTTTCGTTTGTTTAAATATTTTACAGTTTTTTTGTGTGTTTTTTTTCTTTTCATTTTTTTTCTTTTTTTTTTGTTTCTTAAACAAGTAATCTCATAATAACCAACTTCCTTCAATGAACAGAGAGTGTGCGTGTGGTAAGCGCTTTATCTCTCTCTCTACTTTTTTTTTATCTTCAAATGGAATTTTTCTGATTTGTTTTCATTTTTTTTCTTGTTCTGAGGCTTTATTTAATAAAATAAACGGAATTAGTCCTTGGAAAAAAGGCAAAATTTACGTAACAAGTAGGAAATCGAATTATTGGTTGAAGTGATACTCGATTCATAATGAGCAATAAAGTTAAGATGCACGTAAAGCAAACTTCGAGTGAAATTTTTTTTGTGCTTTATTATACATATTCTGAATCGCCAGGTCGAGCTGATCACGAATATCACCTTCCCAGCTCGAAAAAGTGAAATTTTGATGGA